CTCCCCCCACCTTCAGTGACATCTTCTGTTCCTGATCTTGCCCCTGTTGTGCCACATTGCTCTGGGCAAGTGGGTGGGCAACTTCTTCAGCCAGGTGGATCCTTTCCCAGCACTCAGGGCTCTGGCTTCTGTTCCTGGCTGCCTTCCACTGGCCACGAGCTGAAGCCAGAGCCCTGCTCGTTGGGGCAGGAGCTGCCTGGCTGAAGCTGTACACCTGCTGGGAGTGGTGCAGCAGGAGCCACTAGTGGAGGCTGGGGGTGCAGAGTAACACCTGGCTGGCTGCAGTTCAAGGGAGCAACCGTGCTGGAAGCTGCTACTGCCTCTGCTGCACTATGCTGTGCTGCTCCAGGGAGGTGGGCAGGCAGCTTCAGCTGAGCAGCTCTTGACTTAGCACATGGGGCTCCAGCTTCAGCTCCTGGCTACCTTCCCAGGAGCTGGAGCCCCACACTGGGGCAGGATCTGCCCAGCTGAAGCTGCCCACCTGCTGTGGCACGTTGAGGCAGGGGCAAGATCAGGAGCTGTGGGGTGGGGGAGAATGGGTGGATACTGACAGAGCAGCAGGTGGTTGGCTGCAGTCAAACCAGGAACTGCCCTACTGGAAGCTGCTTGGTGTGGCAGAAACAGGAGCAGGAGCTGCCATTGGAAGTTGGGGAAGCAGAAGAGTGACCGAGCTTCGGGTGCCAGTAGGAGTGTGGCAAGGGCTGACCCAGTGTGAGCAGGCAGGGCTTGGCCCCATGTGAAGCACCACAAGGGCAGTGCAGACTGCACCTTTTGGTCAAGGTCTGCTGCGTGTGTCCACTCCCTTGCTCCCTTTCCTCACCCATGGCAGGCTTCTGGGATCTAGCCCCCAGGATCTAGCACTCGGGCAACCCCACCTGCCCATTCCCCAAACACATGAACATGATCCCCCACATCCATCTCCATGCTGCCCTGCTCTCTCCCCCAGAGGGCAGGGACATCTAGGGAATGGCTCCAGATCCCTGGCCCCTGGCTAGAGCTGTCACTACCCCACAACCTGGCTGTGTGATCCCAGCCTTGCCCTTCCCTCCCTCTCCTGAGTGCTGTTTCCCTGCTCGCCTGCAGCCCCATAGGGAGTTTTGGTGAGTTGTGGGCGGAATGGGACACGGCAGCCTCTTGCAGGTTGGAATGCTGCCAGCCTGCAAGGGGAAACTCATGGTTTCCCACATTTTAAGTCCTGAATTTTCTGTGACCTGGTGGTGGCGGGACATGGGGTTGGAGTGGCTTTTCAGCCTGGCTTATCTCTTCCACTCCAGGGGCTGGCAGGAGAAGCATTGGGGTTAGTTACAGGAATGTGGAACTCCTCAGGAACAGTTTCTGGTCTGGGACATAACGGGCTGTTAGATCTGAGAACAGCAAAGTACTGTGTTTCAATTCAAACCTTATAAACTTCAGAAAGAAAGCCTGCATATTTCATCTTGCTCTCAGTAGCACTCAACTTCTACCACAGTCTCATCATTGCCAGGAAGAGGCTAAATCAGAGTGCTGAGACAACTGATAGGGCCAAGACTTCTAAAATTCTGCAGTTCCTGTGGATGGGATGTTCCACCATTATGATCCTCTGTGGGGATCCTTTGTGTTGAATCTGATTTGTCCAGAGACTGTGGGTTAGGGTCCCTTCCACAAGGCCACAAATCCTCTTACTAAGAGGAGAATACAGTAGCAAGTTTGACACCTGTCTTAGAGAGATTTTTCAGTAACTTTAACCTGAAGGGACAGTATTTGGTCTTAAGTAATTATCCCTTAAAATCACTGTATTAATTCTCTGCAGCTCTCTTTAAATAACACTTTTTCATGATGCCTAGTCAGTTAAAAAATTATACTTTTTTTCTCCAGATTTTTTGCCTAATAATATTATAATTGAGAGAGAATAGATTTTTTTTGCTTCACTCCCAATTGTTTATTTTGTGCTTTTTAGATGTGCTTTGTAGATGACCAGTTTCACTATTTTTGAATTAATGTAACTTCCTCTAGTCTTGCATTAGAGTAATGATAATATGTTCATGCGTAGTATTATGGGAATGCAGGTGCGTCCTCTTCTCCATGTCCCACAAAGTGTTTTCCAGTAGAGCAGCAACAGAATTGCTGCAGCGCGAGCGTTTTCTGCTCGTATCTGTAGGATGTCCGAGTAGCACAAGAAGCCATGCAGGGAGAGGTGGGAAGAATAGTGAAGAGCTGGATTGAAACTTAGCAGGAGGCTGGATCAAGAAAGAAAAAGAAGCTAGAAAGCAGTGATAGCTGTTTCCCAGAGGTGTGTGCATAGCAGAGGTTTCCAACTGAATTTTACTTTGCTGAGTACATTCCTCTGCTATATATGTCTGCATCTTTCCCAAACAGCAGAGCAGAAAAAAATCATTGAAAGTAAACAGAGAAACCAGTTTCTAAAGTGGAGAAAAATTGTAAGTGGGCTTGAAGATATTTGAACATTATTAAATCGTAAGGGATATGTAGTTATCAGCTTGCCTTCTTGTGCTGAAGTAAGGAAGAAGGTTGGGCAGGAGGGCACCTTAGAGACTACCTGGTTCAGAGAAGCATAAACTTTTCTAAGCAACATTCTACTTTGTCAGATGTAAGACTTTGAAGAACAGGGATCCAGGTTATCTGTTTCTCTTGGACAAATGTAGATTCCCCCCCTGGGAGAAAAATGTGGATTTTCCCCTTTTGAAGGAGGAAACTGTGGGTTTCCCTTTGCACGCTGGCAGAGTTCCAGCCTGGAACAAGCTGCTTGAGGCTGGAGACAGTGCAGGGAGGTCTGTCCGAGGCAGGGGGTGTCATGTGCACATGTGTGTTCACGTGTGTGGCCAGCAATACAGCCAAGGAGGCAGGGGGGTTGGAGGGCCAGCTCTTGTTGGGGAGTGGGGGGATGCATGCCCATTGGTGATGCGTGGGGGGAAGGGGGGCATGGGGGAGCATGTGTCCCCTCCTTCCCCCACCAGATTTTTTCACCTACAGTGGGGCACAGTACTGCAGCCTAGCTGGACTGACACCAGGCAGGAGCTGCTTCCATGTCACAGCAGGCAAGACCAGGA